TTTTCCGTCGACCGTGTATTTATATGATTTATAAATGTATACAAAATCATTCATTAATGACACCTATTAATAAACGATTTTCTATTAATAAACGATTTTAAGAAAGTCCGACCGAACTAAATAGTAGTCAATTTAATAAATATTCTCCAATGAAATTTGTAATACCGACCCAACCGACCACTATATCTATTCGGTAAGACTACAAAAATAAATTATGACACATTAAAAGTGAGGTTATTTTGCCAGTGACAGAATTGGGAGATTTTTCAACGATGGATTTTCTCTATTTTGTTGAAAAGACGGTCAACGGAAAAATATTGTAACTAACTCGTATATTAAAATGCGATTAATTATCTCAATAATTAACGCGTTCGCTTCGCTTCGCTCGCTCACGCGTTAAAATATCTCGATAATTAATCGCCTTCATTAATAGACTTGTTGGTTAAATAACTATTAAAAAAGAAAAGTGGCGCCATCTCTTGGTTATCTTTGATTTTTTTTTACAATGGTTGCCCAAAGTCCGTTGAGTATTGGTTATAAGGTTATCCAACATCGAAGAAATTGATGTTGACGGGGTGAGGTAGGCAGTGTGACGTCACACATACGAATATTTGATATATATGAAATGTTGATCAAAAGTCTGATTTTTTGAATACGCAATTGAATAGAGCATCAGAGCATTATACGGTTGTAGGATAAGCGATCTTTCTAATAAAATTTGTTCGAAATGTTTATAATAACCGTACGGGAACTGTTTCCCTGTTCGTTCCCTCTGAAACGATCTCGTTTCGGCATAAAATTTTATTGTTTGTGTGCATCAAAAACAGGATATTTGTATTAATCAATAATTTACACTGGTAAAGGAACAATAATAGGTGAGAAATACAAAGATAAACCCTTTACTTTTCAAGTACTTATGAACCTTACTGGATCCTTTACTAGATAAAGGTTACTGTTTGACAACAGATAATTTCTACACATCTCCAGAACTAGCTGATTTTCGTATTTCACATAATACAGATATACAGGTGTATCTGAATGACTGCAACAAACTTCAAGGGGTGATTCTTTAGTGAATTGTAAGGGTACTTTGATATATGAACCATGGGCGACTTCAGCTCCCCTAAGGAGCTACACCCCTCCAAAAATGGCGGAAAATCTTGGTTTAATTTGTTTTTCTCAAAAACCATAATGTAATTTTGGTTTAACATTGTTTTTTAGTGATTTGTTTTTGTATTATTTTGTGGCACAGAGTTTGTGGGTTCGTCCCGTTTCTGTGCCTATAATATGTATTAATAATAAATAAATAAATAAAAATGGCGGAAAAACTTTAAAATATACACCAAAAAATTTAAATCTTTAGACCGTTTCAGCGATTTTCTTATAAATTGTTTATAAAGATTTTATCCAATTTATCACTTTTGAAACACTGTATAAGAAAATTTTTGAAAAAAATTTTAAAATTGTTTATTAGGAAAATTTAACTAATAACATGAATCTAGATATCCGAGATCGTCAAGTACCTCGAAGTACCTCGAATTCCGAACACTAGATATAGAACTAAGTAGATCTAGCAACATCATGTTTGGACTCATTTTAATGTTTTTTTAAATAAAGAATACATCATAAAAGAACACCATAAAGTTGTCCATTTGTCTATTGTATGATAAGTTATCATTGATAACTAACTTCAGATTTAAAATATCATGTCAAGAATGAAATGTCAACGGCAATTTTGACATATTTTTAATTGTCGTGAAAAATCCTTTAAAATGAGCCCAAATATGATACGTGTAATTCCAATATTACTCGAGATATAAGCAACTTCCGATTTGAAATGTCAATGTCATTTTGACATATTTTTAATTTTTATAAAATGTCTTAATATTTGTCACAAAAACAAACGTAATAAAAAAAAATAAAAATTGTTGCTAACTTCGGGTTTAATATTTTTTATTCTCACTTTTTTGTTTTTTGAAATAAGTGCGTCACCTTTGGACTCACTTTAAAGGTTTATTTAATGAAGATGACAAATATGTCAAAATTGACGTTGACGTCAACCGGAAGTGATTGTATTTCCATTAATATTAAAGTTAAATATGTCGAGTTTGAACTCATTTTAAAGGATTTTTTATGAAGTTGACAAATATGTCAAAATTAAAAGTTGAAAGTTCGAACTTTTTCGTTTTTTGAGATAAATGCGTCAAGTTTTGCCTCACTTTAAAGGTTATTTTATAAAGATTACGAATATAGTAATAAAATTAAAGTCGACATTGACAACTGAAAGTTTTTTTCACGGCTAAACCCGACTGTTTCTAGTTCTCGTTCTAGATTTAGTTCAATAAAAATATACAACATAATATACAGGGTCATCCACGACGACCGTCCATTAGAACTTTACAGGGTTCTGGACAAAATTAAAATTTGAAAATTCAGATTTATATAAGTATTATCAATTGCGTTCTCTTCGACTAAAATATTTTCAGATATCTAACACTTCCGGTTATACCGGAAGTCGCCACCTACTTTATTTTTTTAAATAGCACACCCTATATATTTTTACATATTTGGATTTGTCTGTTTTCAAGGTTTATGAATAACTTTACTTTTTGCAATTTGATTTGGCCGTTCTCGAGTTATTCGAATTTTTCTAGAAAAATCTACTCCAGCAGACATTTGTTAAAAAAATCAGAGAACACTCGATTTTTGGGATATCAATTTAGGATTCAGAACATGCGTANACAGGAGATTGTCAGCGAAATACTCGTGGAAAATGAAATCATTGTAGAATGTTTTTTTAGTAGCGATTCATCAATTATTATTATATTATTTTTTATTTTTTTCAATTATTAGCGAAATATATTTTCTACCCCAAACTACTAACCCTTATTAGTTCTTTCAAAAGTACCAAAATCGATAAGCAGTACTTGAAAAAAAAAATTTGGGGTGGTGAGGGTAGTTAACCCCAGCCACCCCTAAATGAGAAAAAACACATAATTAATGTTTTTAAATGTACTATAAGTGTATTTAATGAAGCCAAAATCGACAGGGTAGTTTTTAAATTATTCCAAAAAAGTAGGGGTAGTTTTCTACTGCCTACTGGGATTGAATATACTGTGTTCTGTAATACAACAAATATTAATTATTATAAGGTTTTATTTCTTAATATTTAATATTAATATTAATTATTACAAAACACGCTTTCAAATATTCCACCATTTTAGTTACACTGCATTAAACTGCACTTATTGAACTTAATCGAAAGCAGGTGCAACAAAATATGCACTAACTTGCACCGGCTGTACTAAATTGCACTGCACATGGCCCAACGAACAGTATGAGTGCAACTGCACTAAACTGCACTATCCCCAACGAACACACAATATATGCACTAAACTGCTTAGTGCAAGTGAGTGCAAGTAGTGCAGTCCCAACGAACAAAGCTTATGATTTCGATAATTCCACCCAAAAACGCATCGTATTTTTTAGTGAAATTTAAGCTT